CAGCAGCCGGGTGAGAGGCGGAGGAGAACGGACAGGAGCAGCAACCGGGTGAGAGGCGGAGGAGAACGGACAGGAGCAGCAACCGGGTGAGAGGCGGAGGAGAACGGACAGGAGCAGGCTCACCAGAGTAAGGGCTGCTGGCTAGGCTGCCTTCTCTGCCTGCCAAGGCTGTAGTGGGAGAGGCGATTGGAATGCTGTAATAATCCTGAGGAAAAGGGGCAGAGAAAGGTGTTATTCTGCTAATGACTAAAATGATAGAACCACAACAACGTCAAGGTTTCAGTAAGCAACCCCCGAAAAAGGAGGGAAATGGCCAAGATAAGGGGGAGAACCAGGGTGCCCAAACGGGGGACTCACCAGGGGGATTCTGGTCTGAAGCATCTGCAGATCATCATAACTATAGACCTGAGGCTGAGGGAGAGAAAGCAGGAAGAGCTGGTCAAGAGGGATGGGAGAAGCAGCCGCTCCAGAGCAGAGCTCACTGAACTGCTCAAATGACTTTGTAAACAGTGTCATTTAAATGAGGTCCTGAAAGGGAGGGGGAATAATCAGCAGAAACAGTGGCATGCAGAAGTTTGGGCAGTCCAGGTCAACATTTCTGTTACTGTGAATAAGGGCAGGTGATATGATAAAAATAATCACTATTCTTTTTCAGGCAGGATCACGATCCATGATCTCATCACAATTCTTTTTAATGTTGGTTTTTAAGACCATTTTCCAAGTTACTGAACAGAGCAGGGATCTAATTCCACCATTTAAAAAAATAGCCCTGTAAGGTAAAAAAACTGAAAGAGAAAAATATTGCCAATGTCAAATTCTTTTCAGGGACCAACTCCCTGAAACTCATCTATCCTGCTACGTTGCCAAGTAGAGAATGTTCTGCATGCTGCACATTGTACGTTGGGACGAGGGTGTAAAAAGGAGAGAGGGAGAAATCCAAATCCGCTGTTTGTAATTGCTGGTTTATTGGAGCATTGAAACAGACCTGGCTGACGAAAACAGAGCCATAGAACTGCAGCTAATAGAACGTGCACTGCAGCACAACGCTAATGATCTCTCCATAAAGGCAGAACGCGGACACATTTCAATCACTCACAATCTAATACTGTCCAAACATACACCCCTAACTGTGAATAGTTAAGCGAGTCGAAGATGAAATGATCTCCAAATCATCATTATAAATGTCACTTTTTAGAGCAGCTTTGCTCTACAGCGCCACCCAAAGCCTGGAGTCAAAATATGTGGTAACCTGGCATATTGACACTAGAAGTAAGAAGATGCAGGATGGGGGACAGTCCTGCTATCCAGAAGGTCACTGCACTGAGAGAAGGTGGCAGGAGACAGGTCTGCACTCACAGGGTAGGGGTGAAGCAGCCCGGGGGTCAACATGTAAGGGTTGGGAAGCAGTGGAGGCACCCCAGGGGGGAGGTTTGTGGGCACCTTCGCTGCAGAGGACAAATAGACAGCAGGTTATGCCCAACTGGTCATTTCTTATGAGCTGGGGAAGCCCCCCCCAACCATCCGCTAACCTGAAGATGCCACTAAGCTGCGGGAGGATGAAGTGTTGGAGGTGGTGTGCACCCCTGAGGATGAGGAGGAGGAAGAAGCCAGCGGGACGCCGAGAGCCACGGGCAGGCCGCTGACGGCAGACGTGGTACCGAGATGGGGATTCGCTGTGCTCAGGGACACTGAAGAGGGGAAAGAGGAGTGGAGGCCAGACTCACTGTCCACACTGGGGTTCTTGGAGTCGGAGAGGGAGGAGGACAGAGAGACAAAGGAGGCAGAGTGAAGAAATCGAGCCGAAACACACAGAAGTGACAGGCGGTGACCGCCTGCTGGGAACACTCACCAGGAGTATGGTAGCTGAGCTGTGCGCTGAGGATGAGGTGGAGGAGGAGGAAGGCACACCGCTCTGCTGTGCGGGGACAGTGCTGCAAGGGGAGTGGCAGCCGGTCAGTGTCCCTGTGCACAGCTCACCATTAGCAGTAACGACGTGCCACGCTTACGTGCTGTGCTGCGGCTGTACCAGAGGGACGCTGTGAAGCTCCACCGTACCCTCCACCGAGGGGGCCGTGCTGGACACGGGGAGCGGGCTGACAGGGTCCGAGACGGCCCTCCCAGACAATGTAGGGCCCGCCGCACCTAGGGAAGAGCAGAGGGCAGGTTATCTGGCTGGTCCACGGGCTGCTACCATGCTTTCCAGACAACAGTGACTATGTTTGTGATTTACAACCGTCCCATTGGTGTGTAAGGTTTTATCTGTGTCACGTTCCTGCCCGCTGGCAGTGATGCCAGCTACTGAGGACAGGACTACAGTAGAGAAATTAAAAGTATTGGGATTCAAGTGACCACCTTATTCGTGTAAAACAACCAATGCAATGAGCAGGAAGTGAGTGCTCACCTTCAAGGACCTGCCCTGTCTGCCTGGAGTTGAAGCCATTCTGGGAAAAGACAGAAGATGAGAGCTGAGGAAGAGAGACCCAGGTGCGTCAGCGGGACACTGGGAAGGTCTTAACGTACAAAGGCCCCCATGAGAGATTAACTTGTGTAGAGACCGACTGACAGGGACCGACTGACAGGGACCGACTGACAGGGACCGACTGACAGGGACCGACTGACAGGGACCGACTGACAGGGACGGACTGACAGGGACGGACTTCGCACAACATGAACAGTCAAAGGAATCTGAAGGGACTGACATTTGGCAACTGCAGTTGAAGAATTTAAGTTAAATCACTTTGATAGATCATTTTGAAATAATTTTAATCAGTGAAACATAAATTTTATTAACAAAGCAATTTCATGGTTTTGTTTGAAAAAAATTAATTAATTCATGGGTTTGTTTGGAACACAGCTTTTGATTGGATTAACAAGCTGATACAGGTGGCAGGGGGATACATGTCCCCCCACTTTTCATGGGGAAAAATAAAACTTTAATATGTAACATCCCTAGACAGTGTTGGATACTGTGATCCAGAACAAGTTGAGAACTGAGTGCCAAATAAAGATATGATCTGTCAAATAGCAAGCAATGTGAGATGATGTAAATTCTATACAGGGTTAATCTAAACCAAGCCTATGTTAGCGACTGTCAACAGAATTTTCCGATAGCCAAATTTATGTATACTACAAGAAAGAAAATTACTTCATCCAAGTTTGACCTAATTGTCTGTTAGAATAAAGCTGTAAATCAATGAATGTTTCCTCACATATGTAACATTACAGTAAACTGGGACTCTGTAAATTTAAACTTACAACAAATTGTAGAGCCAGTTCCAGTTGATGGGCGATTCCATACCAGACAAAGTAAGACTGTATGTATGTCGGCCAGTGTCAGTCAAAATGCTTAGTGTATTAAATCATGCCAAATGCCTCATCAAGTCTGACTGCATAAGCTTAAGAGTTGAGACCGTTTGTTCACTACTTGGTTTCCCCCTCCCTCTCCTGCACCCCTGCAAAGGGGCACTTTAAATATATTTAATCTTTAAAAGTTCCTTTTAGTCTTTTTCAGGCATTTTCCTATTAGAGAGGCAAGCTTAGTAAGGTCCTCATGACAGGTGCATGGTTCAAAGCCTGCAAGCCAAACAAACGACTGCTTTCTGATTTAAAAAGCCATCAGAGGAGTGTGGACTGTGCTTTGCCCGGGACGACACACCGCGCCGCCTTATCCCTGCACTGTGCAATGTGACAATATGGTGTTCAGAGTGTGTCTGAGACCCTCATCGATGGCAGACCATCTGAGAAGGTCAGCAGGCTGCAGGAGCTCCTTACCTTGATGGGCTGCATGTCCTTCTTTGGTGATGAGGAGACAGAGGTGGGGTACCATTGGTTCTGTGTAGCTCTCTGATCAAAAGCGGCCCCACCTACTGCCACTGCCACCTGTGGGGGGAACGAGGCACCTCCTCCACCCTGATAGCCCTGGTCCTGGCTGGAGATGGAGGGTGCCGATTCACTAGAAGAGGCGAAAGTGGATAGTAAGACAACATCCAACAGACCAGTTCGCCATCTTCTACTCAGCCAAAGCGCCTGGCAGCCTCTGTTCTGCTTTCAGTCGTTAATCACGATATGCAGCGTTTGCTTTATTTTGCGAAGCACCAAACAGGAATGTGGGTTTTACTGTAAAAGGCCTTTGCTTGTCTAGGGCTGGTTTGAAACACACATGGGCTGTGTCCAAATTCAGGGGCTGCATCCTTTAAGGACACAGTCTATGAGGGTGTTCTTTGAATGTTGAGCGAAGTGTTATCAAATGGGAAGGTCTGGCCTACGGATAATTTCACCAGCTGTTCCTGCCCTTACTCATGAACCACGAAGCACCACTCTTGGGACACATCCACTTTACTTATACGCAATGAATCTTGGGATATGGTGTGCTGTGAAGGATCCATCGGGTGCATCCTTCACAGAATGGGAAAAGGAGAATTTCTAGACCGTATTTGAATGAGCCTGCGAAATGGGTCAGCCTTGTCGCACCACTGCCACGCATTCAGTATTCGAATGCTGCCTTAGAAGGACGCAGCCCCTGAAATGGGACAGCCTCGTCACACTGCTGTCACACATTCGGTCTTCGGATGCTGCCTTAGAAGGACGCAGCTCCTGATTTCAGTCATAGCACTTGGGCCTCTCACAGGCCGGACAGCTAAAAGGGACAGAGTTACCTGCTGGCACTGCTGTACAGGCTGGTCTGCACCTGACTGCAGGGAGAGCTTCTCGCCAGCGTGGAGTCATTTTCGGCAATGACTGGTTCTGATCCAAACTGCAAAGCTCCAAACTGGAGGCTGAGTCCAGACATGTCAGCCGAAGCAGGCATCTCCACTGCTAGTGATGGAATCTGGCAGAAGACAGAAGAGGAAGCTGTACGGTACACAGGAGTGATGGCGGTCTGAACCATGATCCACAGACCAGTACGGTACACAGGAGTGATGGCGGTCTGAACCATGATCCACAGACCAGTACGGTACACAGGAGTGATGACGTTCTGAACCATGATCCACAGACCACTACGGTACACAGGAGTGGTGGCGGTCTGAACCATGATCCACAGACCACTACGGTACACAGGGATGATGGCAGTCTGACCATGATTCACTGACCATTACAGTACACAGGAGTGATGGCAGTCTGACCATGATCCACTGACCATTACGGTACATAGGAGTGATGGCAGTCTGAACCATGATCCACTGACCAGTACGGTACACAGGAGGTATGACAGTCTGAACCATGATCCACAGACCAGTACGGTACACAGGAGGTATGACAGTCTGAACCATGATCCACAGACCAGTACGGTACACAGGAGTGAGGCTGCACTTATGGCATGTGAGTGAGTTAACAATATGAAAGAAATGTCTATGTGGTGACAGTGTGAGGTCTGCATAACCAAGATGTCACGGGCCTGAGCCAGGAGCAACCCACCTTTGTGCTGATAGAGCTCTTTTTCTTCTGCTGCCGGAGCCTGTGCTGCTGAAGCTGGGGGCTAGAGGAGCCGTGGAAGACTTGTTGGCCTGGGCTCTGCACCACCCTGGAGACAGGGGGCAGGGAGCGGGCAGCCAGCACAGAGCTTGTCTGGGGGGGCAACGAAGTTGACCCGGAAGATGAGGAGGAGGGTTTGTCCTGAAGGAAGGCTTCCACCACGGAGGAGGCCGTGGAGCCGCTGGACTGATAAGCTGGGTGTTTGGTGAAGGGGTCGCGGAGCAAAGGATCTAGCTGGGACTTCCGGTCTGAAGGGGCCAGAGAGGGAGTACCTAGTCAGACACAGTCCTACATAGCCGTGTCTTGGTTGTTTCATTATGTTTTGAAGCTTAAAATGAGAACTTCAAGTAACTTTCACTTTTATTTTTGAATAAAATAAGTGTTCTCGTGCTTTCCCTGGGTGGTGGTCAGGGCCAGCCAGGTGACCAGGCCGGCACGATGCCCTATTCCACACCACTGCTTTTCCATCAGCTATACCCAGGCCTCACCGTACTGCCCCAGCGATGAACGAGTCTCCCAGGAGCTGGCTGAGCTGGGGGATCCCATCTGAGTGTGCTGAGCTGCCAGCTGGACCAGAGCCTGGGCCATCTTGTACTGCTCCAGGAACTGGGGACCACTAGTGCTGCCTGTACAGGTGGTCTTGGGCTCCCCCACCTCCCCAAAGGACTTGCTGAGCAGCCCAGCCTAGATGTACAGTAAAAAGGGGTAAATGAGATCCGACAGACAGGGGACCCCATTATGCAGGATGGGACAGGAGGAGGAACAGGAAGCACGTGTGCAGCCTCAAAGCTGCTGCTTCGGCTCCTTGTACTAGTACTCTTAATATATAAAATTGCCTTTCCAAGTTACTTTAGTTAGCACAAGATAATGACAACACTAAAAGTAGGCTATTCGGTAACATAAATAATGTGCGCAGGACTGCATGTGGGGACCATGCAAACCCCAAACACACAGAGGGAGATTAAGCGGTACCGACCGCACTGTGCACATGTGGGAACCATGGCTTAGTTTTCTAGGTTTGGCTACAGACACTTGTCACTGTCGCTGCCATTCATCATTAGGGTGAACTTGGCATAAGACAGCAGTTAATTGGATGCATTGTTCCCATTGTTGATATGGGTGCTGATTAAATGGTGTCACACTGGGACTCTGGTTTAATTCAGCGGAAGAGAGCAAAGATGCATGAAAAAAGCAAGTTTTTTCAGTTGCAGGCTAAATACTCCTGGGGGCCAAATTAATGAGGGGGAATACAGCCAAAATGGGGCTGGGGGTGGTGGGGGCGGCTACCGGTGAGTCCCCTGGGAACGACATAACCACCAAGAGCAAGGGGAAAAATGAAGACAGCAAAGCATAGCAGCCTGCTATAGGTCTATCCTCTGTACTGACCATGCTCTTCCCGCAGGGGGCGCTGGGGGCGGTCTGCACCAGCGGGGTGCCCTGCTGGGAGCTGCTGAAGACCAGGGGCTGGGAGGGGGCAGGTGGTCGAGAGGCATCCCGTGGCACAGGTTCCGCTTGCGTGGATGAGGATGGAGTCGGTTTGCCCAGCAGTACTGCCAGGTCAATCCTGCAGGGGCAGAAAGTGTCCGCTGACAGCTTGTGGAACCTGACGCAGGTATGTAGCTAAGAACAGAAACAATCATGCCGCATTTATCCGAGAACAAGTAATCTGCCATAGTTAATGTTATAAAGTCCAATTTCTAATCCCATCAAAGTCACCGTGAATTGAGGTGTCACTTTCTTTGCAGTCAGCAAGCGGCATCCAACCGACCTGAAGCTCCAGGATTGAGTTTGCCATGCCGAAGGGGCAAACATCACTCCTTTATCAGTTCTTTGATTTTGACTTGAAATGTTGACATAAAAACTGAGAGACCATGTGCAAGAGACAAACACCCAGAAATATTTTAACTTCAAGGACCTAACAAAGCCACCCTGCATGAGGGCCAGTATCTGTGCTCCTCCTACTGACTCCAGAAGGCCAGGAGACCCACCTCTGTCCGGCCGCAATGCTGAAGGCTGGCGGGGCTGGTGACACAGAGGCTACGCTCGCTGCAGTAAACACCTTGGTCTCCAGCTGTGATGGGCAGAGGCAGAGTGGCACACACATAAAGGGAAGGCGTGGGCACAGTCGGCCAGTCTGCAACAGCCGCCCCCCTGCCCCTACTCACATCCTCGGCCCAGTCCTCAGTGGCTGTCCTCCAGGTAGCTGGGAATATCGGGACACTCAGTTACTCACAAACATACTTCTCGTTCAGACCCCCAACTCCGGTGGCAGAGGCAAGGAAGACAAGAGCCATCATGACTGGGCAGAATCAGGAGCTTGCCAGCCAATCAGGGCTCTCCTGCAGTAATACTATGCTGCATCATAACACCAACAACTTGCAGAAAGATGCATGTGGCTAAGAGCACACATGAGAGCTGGATGTTTCACTGGAGCAGTTAACCAGTGAGCAGGGCAGCAGATTCGGCCTGGAAAAGGCCACAGGCAAGAAGGGCTGGAGAAGGCCACACACCTGGCGTCGTGTCGAACCTCCTGGAGGAGCTTTCTGCTTCAACGCCAGAGAACAGCAGCCCTGCGGACAGGCAGAGCAGCGACAGGTGACACATTCACCCAGAGACGCGTAGGGTTCTACTCCAGAAGGATCAGGTGAGTAGGAGCTTTCATGCTGAATGATGAACATACCAGCTCACTCTGCCCATTTTCCTATGCTTGGTCCTAAGTACTCAAGCCCTTTAGAGAAAATCAAACCCTTTACCAAAGGGGTGTCATATTTAGCTCCATTTTTAGGCTAAAATGATTCGGCTTGGTAAATGATTCAGGTGATAAATTTTGAAAATGCCGTTCATTAGTAATGCAGCAGAAACAGCAATTGAAAACAAGTTATTTTAAAAGGGCAACTATACAAGAACAATGGTCAAGAAACCTTCACAGTAACATAGTAACTGACTGACTGTTGCCAGCTTCAGGTTCGGCGCAGCTCCTGCGGTCCCAGGCGCCGCCAGCCGCCTTCGGCTCTCTGTAGTCCGCCGGGTTGAACGTGCTGCAGGGGAAAGTGGCCAAAGTAAATGTGTGATACGTGGATGTCAGCCCTTACAACAATGCTGGAGTGTGTGTCCTCCACAATTTAGGACTCGCAAATCAAGTTCATGGGATCCATCTTGGTAGAAAGGAGATACTCCTGTGGGGTCAGAAGCAGCTTCAATTTCAACAAATCACTTAGCAGAAAGTGTTTCATCCAGAGTTTTCTGTCATTTTTATCCACGAGTCTTAGCAAAGATGTCCTACGCGTTACCGTGAGCAAAGTTACGTTCAAGATGTCCTACGCGTTACCGTGAGCAAAGTTACGTTCAAGATGTCCTACGCGTTACCGTGAGCAAAGTTACATTCAAGATGTCCTATGCATTACTGTGAGCAAAATTACGTTCAAGATGTTGCTCTGTGTAGATGCAGATCTAGAATGAGTCAGATGCGAAGGTGCTTTGAGGGCGGGCAGGTGGGCTTCCAAGCTTTACTGTTAGCACATTAGCATAACCGCCAGCTCTGGATTTCCCCACTTTTAACCTCCTGTCACACTGCCACGAAGCACATGAATGGCAGCTGTAAGATTAACCCCTCTAGTTGTAGGCAAATCCAAGCTTAACATGGATACTGACCTAATACTGAGTAAATGACGACCGGCAGCCAAGTAGCAGCATCATCTACCTGCACCGAGCCTACGGGGTGGGTCGCAGTGCAGGAGCTGACTTAGGTCCTGCTCTGAAGCCTCTAGATCACATGCTCCCCTGACCAGCTTAACTCCTACCAGTACAGATGTACTGACACCAACTGGGGGGCAAATCACTAAAGCTGCAAGGTCCACCTGACCCCCAATATACCCCCTCTGTACATATCACTCAAGATCCACTCACCTCTCATCTCCTGACAAATCATATCTTGTCCCCTTATCACTCTGGCTTTAGAGAGAAACAACAACAATGAATATAGAAGATTGGGGGGTGACAGGTTAAGACAGCCTGACAACAAGCTTGGGGCTCGGAAGACAAGCTCCATCCAATCCACATGCATACCATTTGACATGGTGAGTAAACGCAAGAACTGTTTTGTTAGTGAGGCAACCCTCAGGAGACGTAGCAGACATAATGTAACACACAAAAAAATGCAGCCAGAGGCAAAACAGGGAGACATTTGCATGAAACATATTCTGTCCATGTCTTCCCACATTTCAGCCAAAAACAAAATACAGCTTGCTGAAATTTGAATCAGCAAATATGCTGAACTGGCTCCCTAGTTATGCAATCACAGAAGGGGGAATCCGTTTTTAATCGAGGGCTGAAAGTGTGTGTGTGTGTGTGTGTGTGTGTGTGTATAACCAGACAAGCCAAACCACACATGAACCATAAGTCATGTGATGAGGCTGTCGACAAAGACGGCATAGCTGCATTCCCACCGTGTTACTAGGAGTCACATTCACACACACCCAAGGACTCTGCCACAGCACAGCACGGCACACAGCACGGCACACAGCACGGCACACAGCACGGCACACAGCACG